CAGGTTTGCACAAATACAGTTACGTACATAGATTATCATACATAGCAGCATGTGTAAAGTACCTAGGATAACCCAAAAAAGGTCAGAGTGACTTACCTATTTCCACTGGAGTCCTTTTATATTTACACTTACATTTACTTTTATATTTACACTTACATTTACTTTTATACTTACCCTTTTATATTTAAACTTACCTTGGAGATGTTAGTTTAAATAGTTTGATGGAGGAGATGCTGGCAGAGGTTTAGGGTGGTGGAAGATGCGTAGCAGGCCGGCGTATGTTCATTGGCCCAATACACATCCAACAACATTGGAGAGTTACTTTCATGTCGTTTTTCTATCGCTTACTCGCTTAACTTACTTGCTACACTGTTAATTTTACACTTCATCGCTGGCTGGCACTATAGCCTTTATCGATACCTGCTGCTTTAGTATTGTACATATGGTAGAATCACTGAATCACTGCAAAAGGCACATTCTCTCCTCTCTCTTCCTCCTCCTCTTTGGTACTTTGCTTTCTTTGGACCCAGGGTGGCTTATTTAGCAGTTACAAGCACTAAAAACAATGGAATAATACAAAATATATCACATGTACGCATGGAATCATCCTCCCTGGCTTGTAAACAATGGCACACTGGCTTTACATGGGCTCAGGCTGCGCGAACACGCTCGGGATGAATGTCCTTAACCGAGTTCTTGGGCGTTAACCGAGCCAACATTTTGACACAAAAACGTGCCACTATCCAATTTTGGTGTCAGCCGATGACACTGTTACCTGATGGTCCACTGTACATGTATGTGTAAAGTACCTAGGATAACCCCAAAAAAGTAAGAGTGACTTATTTCCATTGGGGTCCTTTTATATTTACACTTACATTTACATTTATACTTATACTTTTATATTTACACTTACTTTGGAGGAAATGTTAGTTTAATTAGTTATTTTGATGGAGGAGATGCTGACAGAGGTTTAGGGTGGTGGAAGATAGCAGGGCGCATATGTTCATTGGCCCTATACACATCCAACAACATTGGAGAGTTACTTTTGTGTCGTTTTTCTATCCCTTACTTGCTTAACTTACTTGCTACACTTTATCGCTGGCTAGCTCTATAGCCTTTATCGATACCTGCTGCTTCAGTATCATATATATCGTAGAATCACTGAATCACTGCAGAGGGCACATTCTCCCCTCTACTCCTTTCCCCTCTGCTACGAGTTTTTTGTTGACTTCTATTGTGTTTCTTTCCTTCTTTAACACAGGGTTGGCACTAGAAGCTTTCTTTGGGCCCATGGTGGCTTATTCAGCAGTTACAAGCACTAAAAACAGTGGAATAATACAAAACATATCGCATGCACACGTGGAATCGTCCTCACTGGTTTGTAAATAATGGCACACTGGCTGTACATGGGCTCAGGCCGCACAGACACGTTCAGGATGAATGTCCTTAACCGAGTTCTTGGGTGTTAGCCAAGCCAATATTCTGACACAAAAATGTGGCACTATCCAATTTTGGCGTTAGCCGATGATACCATTACCCAAGGGTCCACTGTAATTCGTTCCAGAAAGTCTGATGAAAACCAAATTGTACGAAAAGTGAAGCAATAGTTCCCACAAGAAATAACGTAAATCCAATTAATCCTTTCCAAACACCCAAAAATATTAACAAAAAATACATTTTATAAAGAATAACTATACAGTGGACCCCCGGTTTACGATCAGCTCCCAATGCGACCAATTATGTAAGTGTATTTATGTAAGTGCATTTGTATGTGTATGTTTGGGGGTCTGAAATGGACTAATCTAATTCACAATATTCCTTATGGGAACAAATTTGGTCAGTACTGGCACCTGAACATACTTCTGGAATGAAATAATATCGTAAACCAGGGGTCCACTGTAGTTTAACATATGGAAAACAATGAAAAATAAATATAAAGGACTAATGAAATGGATAAATAAACATTTAACATCATTTTTACCTTTACTGAAGACTCTTGTTGGCGTATGGAAGATGGAGAGGAGGGGAGAGGGAGGAGGAGAGGTTATTGTTTGGAAGGGGAATCCCCCTCCATGAGGACTTCAGGTAACAAGGTCCTATCCAGGGTTACTTCCCTTCTTTGTCTTTTACTGGCACAAGGACCAGCTTGAGGGTCACTGGACCCCTGTCAAAAAAAAAAACTGTTCAGAGAGGTCTGCTGCTGGCATCTCTTTAAGATTTGCCTAAAATGGGACAAGGCATTGTCATTGAACAGGTTGCAGACACGGCTTGCAACAGCTTTGTTAGGGTGATATTTCTCCACAAAACTTTGCAACTCATTCCACTTTGCACACATGTCCTTCATCACTGAAGAAGACACATTCTCCCCTCTCTCTTCCTCCTCCTCTGAAGCAATTTCCTCAGCTGTGGTCTGTTGCTGTTCCAATTGAAGGTCTTGCAGCTCTTCAGTGGTTAGCTCTTCCCTGTGGTTATCCACCAACTCTTCTACATCCTGGCCACTCACATCCAACCCCATGGATTTCCCCAAAGACACAAAGGATTCCACAATAGGCGTAGGGTCATCAGGGTCGGCCTCAAACCCTTCAAAATCCTTCTCGAGGACACATTCTGGCCACAATTTTCTCCAAGCAGAGTTCATCATCCTGGAAGTCACTCCCTGCCAAGCCTTTTCTATAAGGCTAATCCAACTGAGTATGATATTGAAGTGATTCCTCAAGAACTCTCTTAGGCAGATGCGTTTGGTATGGCAGACCATTGTCAACTCTATGAAAACCGAGTGGATGTATGAAAACTGGGACAAAATTTCGACAAATAAAAGTCGTCGAAAACCGAATCCTACGAAAACCAGGGCATACAAAAACCTAGGTTCCACTGTACAATCATCAGAGTACATATAAAATATGAATAACTTAAAAACACTTGAAATTTTGGAAAGTTTCCAAACATAATGGAAAGACGCAGTGTTCATGGAGAATGCAAACAAACCAGGTAGCACACACCGTATTAGAAAGACAGGGAGCCGTATAGAGTTTTGGTCATAATTTGAATCGCTATATTAACAGAACGCCGTAAAGTGGGGCCCTACTGTATATTCATGAAGTATGTTTTGTCTATGTTGAGAGTGAGTTTGTTGGTAATCATCCAAAAATATATTTTTAGCAGCTCATTGTTTACAGTACCTCTAAGTATAGCTGGGTTTGAGTGGGAATAGATGTAAGTAGTGTCTTCTGGGAATAGAACTGGTTTAAGGAGTTGAGATGAATTGGGGAGATCATTGATGTAGATGAGAAAGAGGAATGGGCCTAAGATGCTACCCTGGGGCACTCCAACAGCTACAGGCTTGATAGTGGAGTTGACCCCATTTGTGTATACGTACTGGTGTCTACTGTTAACCCTTTCAAGGTCAGTCCCGTATATGTACGGCTTGACAGCCAGTGTCGGTCCCATATTTATACGCCAAAATTCTAGCGCCTTCAAATCAGGTGGAAGAAAGCTGATAGGCCTACATATGAAAGAATACGTCTGCGTGGTCAGTGTGCACAGTATAAAAAAATCCTGCAGCACACAGTGCATGAGAAAAAAAAACTCCAGCCATGTTTTTGGTTTAAAACAGCAACTTTGCAGTGTGTTTTCATGTGGTATTTATGGTTGTATTCTCATTTTCATGGTCTCATTTGATAGAATGGAAGATATATTACAGAAATAGAGATGATTTTGATTGGTTTAACGATGAAAAGTACCTTGAAATTGAGCTCAAATTAACGGAAATGTTTGATTTTTGCCGTACTGGTGTCTATCATTAACCCTTTCGGGGTCAGTCCCACATATGTACGATTTGATAGCCAGAGTGGGTCCCATATTTATACGCCAAAATTCTAGCCCCTTCAAATCTGGTAGGCCTACATATGAAAGAATACGTCTGCGTGGGCAGTGCGTGCAGTATAAAAAAAATCCTGCAGCATGCAGTGCATGAGAAAAAAAACTCCAACTATGTTTTTGGTTTAAAACAGCGACTTTGCAGTGCATTTTCATGTGGTATTTATGGTTGTACTCTCGTTTTCATGGTCTCATTTGATAGAATGGAAGAGATATTACAGAAATAGAGATGATTTTGATTGGTTTCATGATGAAAAGCACCTTGAAATTGAGCTCAAAGTAGTGGAAATGTTTGATTTTTGCTGATGTTCAAGAGTAAACAAATCACTCCATGCATCCAATACACGTCAACTGGCGAGTCTAATATTCTTTCACAAGTGCGCTGATATTATTTATACCATTTTGACAATAAAGCAGGAGTCTGCCTAACAGTAAATCTTATTTTTTTTTTTGTGTGTGTGTTAATAAAAATTCAAAATGGAAAGCAAGAGTAATATAAGAATGGCCTGGACACGTGACTAATGAACAGAGAAAATGCTATTTTAGTGCCAGGAATGTCTGTCTTGTTTATTCTGAACACTATTTTGAAATTGGCATCTTTCAAAATTTGGTTGAAATTGGCCAAATTGCCAATTTCTGATCCGTTTACTGGGTAGTTGAAATTGGTAAATAGGCAGTTTCTCATACTCAATCGATAGAACAAACGGAGTTCTAGCAAAATAGCTATGATTTTAGTAGACTGGTACAATGGAATTGGCCGAAAATAGGGCTCAAAGTGGGCAAAATCACCGATGCGTAAATATCGCCGATATCGTTAACTTTGTGAGAGCATAATTTCATGAGTTTTCCATCAAATTTTATACTTTTGGTGTTATTACCATTGGGAAAAAGATTCCCTCAAAGGGTTAAAATAAGATTTTAGGTAATCGAGGGAATGTCCTCTGATGCCGTAATGAATTAGTTAGGTCATAATGATCAGTAGTGCAGAATGATCAGTAATTTGAACATTCCTTAGCCATAATTATTCTGGAATACTTTTGCTTTGCTATACAGTGATTAGAAAGAAATTTAGGTTTAAGTAAACAAATGCTATACACATACACAGTATATTATGTATTACTTACCAATTTAGCCTGAGGAACCAAAAATGGGTCATTGTAAGCAGGAATGCCACTACGTCTCTTGCGAGCAATAGCATGGAGAATGGTGTGAGGAACAGAATCTGAAGGACGGCCTATACGCAGATATCGTGATCCAGGGTGTAGTATAATGCTTGCTTGAGCTTCTAAGTGCTGAAAGAGAGACATCAAAACAAAGGTAGAGCAATATTTGGCAATTTTCTAAATACACTTTTCAATACATATACAGTAGTGGTAGCAGAAGTAAGGAAACTTGCCCACATGTTCTGCCTTGCCTGGGGATCAAAGTCAAGTCCTTTCATTTACAAGCAAAAAGCTGTACACCTGAGCAACGAGTCACCTATTAACTACAACAAACACGAGACAAGATTTAAACTAGACATATTTAGTGCATGATTATTTTTTGGAATGTGTAAAAAAAAAAGGACCAATGTGACACGTGAAGCTTTTCTTAGCAGCAGCAGTAGTAAATAGTAGTATTGATAGGCAACTAATAATGGCAGTTACAATAGTAACAATGGTACTTGAGGTCTTACAAGGACCCGGGTCCTCTCTCTGATGCTTCCTCTGACACTGCCCCCTCTGCAATAAGATCTGCCACAAGGGGACCTTCTATTAATGAATTATCACCTCAACTGATGTTATTAGAGAAGTTTTTCAACACATCAGTCATCTCCCACTGAGGCAGGGTGACTCGAAAAAGAAAAACACACTTTATAAAGTTTTTCTTCTTTTTATCTTTAGTAATTTATACAAGTGTGGTTACTAGCCCCTTAAGGGAATACAGTACCATACAATTTTCCTTTAGGGGGTAATGTACTATATAGCAAGGGTCTGGGTTCGATTCCCAGCCAGAGTAGAAACATTGGGGGTGTTTCTTTACACCTGTTGTCTATGCTCCCCATCAGTAAAATGGGTACCTGGGTGTTAGTCGACTGGTGTGGGTCGTATCCTGGGACACTGACCTAAATTGCCCGAAATGCTGAGCATAACAAGGGGCTTCCTATATAGTAGTATGTCACTGATGTCAACTAGGCCTGTATACCATGTACATGTACTTGTAGTAAATAAAGATATTATTATTATACAGCCTTTGCTTCTGGGTGTACTGTACCACACAAATTGACTTAAGGAGCACTATACCATAAAACCTTGCTTCAAGAAGTTCCATAATGTACCATATATCCTTGCTTCAAGGAGTACAATACCACACAAACTTGCTGCAGGGAATACTGTACCACACAACATTGACTACTATGGGATTTCAGAAGTAATTCTTCTCTACCAAACTTATTAAAGCAATATAGCATGAACTATTACAATATTTAATTCTCTTGTATTCATTGTAACTCACCTAACAACCATATGTACAAAAATACTGCAATGTTATTGCATTATTAATCTTAAGTTAGTCTTTAGTTTGCCTGAAACACTCTGCATATAAAGAGGCTTTTGGCATGTACACCCAATTGTTATACTCCTTTGTACAAACATGTGTCAAGCTGAAATAAAACTATTATTAATATTATCATTATTATTATTATTATTATTATTATTATTATTATTATTACAACCTGCTTCATGGAGTACAGTACCACCACTGCATGGCCAATAAAAAAAGGTCAACTTAACCAGATGGCCAACAAATGTACCAGAATAACAATAACAAAAGAAAAGCACAATACCGTGACTGGAACAATACACAAATAACCTGCACAGAGAAGAGAGGAGCTTACGACAGCGTTTCGATCCAACTTTGACCATTTACAAAGTCACACTAACAAAAAGGAGAGGAGGAGGGAGTACATATAGGCTAACAGACATTGATAGGAGCAAGAGAGATATTGGTGGAGGTAGTGGTTGTGGAGTCAGTTAAATACTAAGAAAGGGGAGCACTGCAAAGGAGCTAGGGGACCACAGAGGGTAGGAGCAAGAACACAGAGAGGGGGAAAAATATAATAATAAAGGACAAATACCCAAGGCAGAAGAAAGAAAACCCAAAGGGGAAAGAGAAAAGGGGAAGAGGGAGAAAGAGAAAAAAGAATCAGGTTAAGTCATGGGTGTTCTGAAGTTTGGAGCATTTTACAATGTACGTAATGGGAAAGGAAGGCATCTACAGAGACAAAGCCAGGACTAAGATTCATACAAGGAAAGTTGTGTATAAGGGAGGATTCAACCAAACAGTGACTGTGAAAGTTAGAAGTCGGGTAGACAGTTTTAGCAGAGGACCAGTCAACAGGATGACTGTGATCTCTGACATGACAGAAAAGAGCATTGTTGGTGTCGGCAAGCCTAACCCTACTTTTGTGCTCCTTAAGTCTGTCAGAAAGAGATTGGCCAGTTTCTCCAAAGTAGTGAAGAGGATAGGAGGAACAAGAAATAGAGTAGACACCAGGAGCATCTATAGAGGGAGGAGTGGTATGAAAAAGATTAGTGCAAAGAGTGTTAGGCTGGCAAAAAGTAAGTTTGATGTCTAAGGAATGGAGAGAGTTGTTGAGATTAGAAAGACCGGAAATGTAGGGAAGGCAGAGGACAGGAGAGTTCCCAGGAGTAGAGAGTTTGGGAGAGAAGAAAGTCTGTTCAGCACATGAGGAGGCAGAGTCTATGAAATGGGAAGGGTAGCCAAGATGGGAAAATGAATTATAAAGAGTGGAAATTTCTGATTCAAGGAACTGAAGATCACAAATGCAGAGAGCACGGAGAAAGAGGGAGATAAGAACACTTTTCTTGACAGAGGAAGCATGATAAGAAAAGTAGTGAATGTACATGCATGCACTACATGATACACGGAAAAGGCAAAACCTTTATCTGAGTGGTGGACATGAACATCAAGGAAAGGAAGCAAGGAATTAGATTCCCATTCAGCTTTAAACTTAATAGAAGAGGCAAGATTATTAAGAGCATCAAGAAATGGTTGGAAGAGACTAGAGTCATGAGGCCAAAGAGCAAAGATGTCATCTACATAGAGGACCCAAAGTGAAGGGCACACATCAAGACTTAACATATTCGAGGTCAGTGCCACAGTACTAAGGATTTGAGCTCTGGGTCAGTGCCGTAAATCTACGTGATGAGCTCAGCTCACTCAGATAAGCTGTGAGCAGTAAATTTTGGCCTAGATATGAGAGAATGGGTCTATGTGGTGAGTGTGCACCATATAATAAAAATCCTGCCCCATGCAGTGCGTGATGGGAAAAAACTGACCACATTTTTGGTTCAAAATAGCGACTTTGCAACGTATTTTTGGATGTTTTTTTTATGGTTTCCTTCTCAGTTTCTTGGTATCATGTGATAAATGGTAGATATATTAAAGAAACAGAGATGATTTTGATTTTTCGATATTCAATTTGTTTGCGAGTCACCTAAATAAATCAATGGTCAATATGTACTTTACTTCCAGCTGTGCTTTGTTATATATATAAAACCTCAGGTATTAAGTGCTCTGTGCAATGGATATATGTATTTAGTGACTAAAAGAAGACTTTTTTTTAATATAACCTAACCTAATATTACCCAACCCAACCAATAATTTTACAACTAGTCTAGGTTAGATTCAGCTTGATTGGGTTGGGTTGAAGTGTTTTATTAAACATGCACTGTATACTGTATTAATCAAAATAAAGCTTCTTTCCTGTGTTTAAAATACAACTGTCTCCATTGCATAACCCCTTCTAAATAATTTCCACAAAAAAAAGTCCCATGAAACAAATCACATACCGTTTATAATATAAAATATTAACAGATTTTTGCCCTGAAAAAAAAAAAATGACAATGACCAAACAAACCAGTGAAGAAGCAGGGCCAGGAGCTATGACTCGACCCCTGCAATCACAATCAGGTGAATTAGTTGAGTATGTAAATATGTGCACACACGCACACGCATGCATGCACACACGCACGCACGCACGCACGCCACACACACCACCACCCACACACAACACACACGCACACACACACACACACACACACACACACACACAAAATGACTTTACTTAATGGTTTTCTAAAACACTGCTGCTGACAAAACAATTTTTAATGAGCAAAATTATAGTTCAATAAAAGTTTCACTGAACATTTAACATAAGTTTTTATTTAGGTTATGCATCAGATAAGGGAAAATTTTAAATAAGATTTTGTTTGAATTTTTAACCTGGAAGGTTAGCCATGAAAGATAACCCAATAACGTATGCATCCTCAGGGACTGTTTGTTGTATTTCCACTGCGGTCCGTCAATCTTCTTTCCCAGGATGCAACTCACAGCAGTCAACTAACATCCAGATACCTCCTTACTTCTAGGTGAACAGACAGCAGGTGTGAGGAAACGTGCCCAATGTTTCCACCCAGCCGGGGATTGAGCCTTGTGTGTGAGGCGAGAGCCTTGACTACCAGGCCACTAGCACCACATACAGAACTTGTATAGTGTTCTTGAAAGCACATATGTTACTGAGCAAGTAATTGTTATGTACTTAGATTAGAATTATCACTTATATAGAGAAGCAGTAAACCAGAATGGGTTACCTTGTGCCTGAGGAATGGGAGGTAATCAGGTCCAATATAAGGGAAGGATAGCTCCAGCTCCTTAGATCAAGACCCCCTTCACCGTCACACCTATCTCATTATTATTATAATCATGGGGAGCGCTAAACCCGTAGGGTTATACAGCGCATGTGTGGGGGGGAATGGAAGGTATTCAGGCTCAATTCAGGGAACCGGAGCACAGATCCAATTCCTTAGAACAAGAGCCCCTCACCAGCGTCAAGGAACCTCCCTTGAGGGGCACCTACCTCAGAAAATGGCTCTGGCATCTCCTCGCATAAAATTTTGCCTCAGTGGTTGTTAACTGAACTTGCAGGAGCTTGCTACCACTCAGCTCTCACTCTGTCTTGTACGTCTTTTTGATCTTCTTCAGGATACAGGTTATGTGTGGTTTACTTGTAGGTTTGTTCTCCTCCAGACGACTGTCTTATTATAAGTTAACACTAACAACACCACCACTGTTCTTGCTGTCTTTGTTGGGTTTATATGGGCTACTGACAGCAGCAGCTGTGTCCAGCCACACTTGGTGCTGCTACCACGAACATTTGATGCCCAAGGCTGGGCGATGAAAGAAAAGAAACAAAAGTTCCTCTGTAAACAGAGATAGGTCCGGTGGACGCCCTTGCCAAGCCCCAGCAGAGAGGGACGCCCACACTCCCACCTGAGAACAGTAACCGGTTTCCAACCAAAGACCGTTAAAGAATTATTCGCAGAGCGGAAAAATCGAAGCTGGCTAAAGTAAGCCGATGAATAACTACCCCTCCTGTAGAGTGCCCGGCGGGCAAAATAGATGAGGACAAGCGTCCCAGAGAGAACGGGGGAAATTTATCACTGATAATCAAGTGATAGAGACGTCCACATCCAACGAAAGCTGGCGCAGTAGTCTTCTTCTGTTGGGTTTATCAGGGTCACTGACAGCATAAGCCGTATCGAGCCCGGTTTCTCGATGGTACGAGGAAAATTTGTTGCCCAAGGCTGGGCGATGAAAGAAAAGGAACAAAAGTTCCTTCGAGATATAAACTTGAAGTTTCCAATTAGATCCGGCGGACCTCCTTGCCAAGCCCCAGCAGAGAGGGACGCCTACACTTCCACCTGACTTCAGTAACCGGCTTCCCACCAAAGACCGTTAAAGAATTTTCCCCAGAGCGGAAAAAATGGAGCTGGCTACAGTAAGCCGATGTACAGGTGCCCCTCCTGTAGAGTGCCCGGCGGGCAAAATAGACGAGGACAAGCGTCCCAGAGAGAACGGTGGAAATTTGTCACCGATACACAGACGAGAGAGACCTCCAACCCGACGCAGGCTGGCACAGTAGTCGACCACCACTGTTATGTTCTTGTTGTTGTTGTTGTTGGGGTTTATAGGGCCACAACAGTATGCGCCATATCGAGCCCTGCTTTCCAGCACTCGGAAAAGGAACCTTGACCAAAGTGGAAGGAAGTTGACTAATAACTGCGTATTATATGTCCTTAATGCGCCCTAAAGCCAGCAAGAATGTGCAGGTACAGGCCCAATTGAGGAGAGGTAGGGTTAAAGACCGCACCCCGAATGTGCGCAAGGCAGCACGGAGGAGTCCGTGCAGTGGTAACGGTGGCACCATAGTAGGACGTGCTCCACCCTCTCAGGCTGTGAAGGACATCACGGGCAGTACGGGGAATCCGTCATCCGAAGGAGGTGCAGATGAGCTGCCAGTAGTGACTGCCCAATCCGGAGGCGAGTCAGTGCAACATCCACCGAGCGATTGGGATGGTGAGCCCCAGGGCGGGGACATTGAAAGAGCGGACAGAGCTCAATGCCGAAGAAGAGAGGGAGCGTGCCATATCTTCCTGCCTTAAACGGCGGATTTCCTTCCAAACAGTCCTTGTGAAGCACTATTATGATACCTGGATATTACAACCCAGGAATCCAAATGGCCTGTTATCCTGGGTGTAAAGGGAGCAAAATAAACACTGCAGAAAAGTTTTGAATTATATTATCCTTCACCAATTTAGAACAGCAATGTGTACACTATATACAGTGATAGCTATTAGTGCACTCCACGGTAAGCAAGGCAGAAATAGAAGCCACAAGATAGCAGACCGTGCTTCAACCAGCTCTAGAATGGGAATGACAAGGGCAGACAGGAGAGTGGTACCCACATTATGTGGGTACCACTCTCAGAGGTTATGTGGGCCACATAACCTCTGCGATCGCCAAAACCATCTTCTTATTGGCTGGAACCTGGTCACTAGTTGAACGACAGGGACCCATCATCAACTCTCAGTAACCTGGTTCGCTGGTTGGGGGAGATAGCATGTAAATGAGGGTGTGTACATGCGCCGAATAAAGGTTACGTACTCTTTGCATGCCACAGTGGACATTACTTGTTGTTGTTGTTGCTACATAGATCATGTATCTGGTTTATGTGGAAGTCAATTTCAGTTTTTATGATCCATCTGGAGGGGTTTTCACCAACGCTGAGGAAAGTTTGGAGGGCTTCTGTGCTAGTGTTTGAATGTGCTTGCATGAGCATATTGACCCAAATGAGGACATTTCTTTCAGTGACACGATGCCTTGGATATCAAGTTCTTTCCGCATATTTAGAATTTAGCCAGTACGAGGACATCCTAGGATGATCCTCATTGCTTCGTTCTGCAGTTTTTCCAGCCTTCCAAGCTTCCAGTCTGACACAAGAGCAGTTAGTAGCGCGGCATAATCAACCAATGATCTAATATAAGCAAAATACATAATTTTTACAGGAGGCCTGGTCACAGACCGGGCCGCGGGGGCGTTGACCCCCGGAACTCTCTCCAGGTAAACTCCAGGTAAACCATACCTGGGATGAAAACCTGCCACAACTCTAAGTGTTTTCAGCTTTTCTTTGTATTGGCGACAAAGTCTTGTTGCTATAAGTCCAGGTAATGAGAACTCAAAGCCTGGATACCTGTATCTAGCTACATATTCCAGTCGAGACCCATCATGAAATTGGATCCTGCGGACTGTGCCTCTTTGGCGAGGAGGACGCCTGTTATGTACCTTTGTTTTCTCAGCAAATATAATAAGACAAATAGTCCTAGATGATGCACTGACTTTCTTGGGGTATCCTGGGTGGTTAACCTTCCAGGGTTAAAAGTCCGAACAAAAACTTATTTTGTCTTGCTTAAGTTCTTAATTAGACCAAGTGGACACCCCTTCGTCAAGCCCCAGCAGAGCTGGACGCCCACACTCTCACCTGAGTACAGCAACTGGGTCCCTGAATATAGCAACCGGCTTCCCCTTGAAACCGTTAGAGAAATATCCCCAGAGCAGAAAAAAAATGAAGCTGGCTAAAATTATTCCGATGATAGTTGCCCCTCCTGTCATGTGCCCGGCGGGAAAAGTAGGATAAGTGTCCCAGGGTACAGGGGGGGAACTGTCACTACTTGAGGAGGTCAATGTTGTTTTTCATAACAACATAAGTATATATTACCTAGACTAGCCCAAAACCGTCAAACAAAAAGACATTTCCGCTGGGGTCTTTGTAACATCTATTTACTAAACAACTGTTAGAGTAAGATACTGTAGGTAATTTAAAACAAGATTCCAGATTCGATACACAGGTATAAATTGTTACATAGTTCCATTTCTTAATTAACCTAGGATAATCCAGTAAAGGAAACCACTGATTTATTTCCTTAAGGTCCTTGTACTTCCGCTGTTCGAGGTAGAACTAGTGTTTAAATATGTTAAATAGTGAAAAAAGTTCTTTCAAACAGTTGTTGATCTTCCTGTGGCTGCGTGACCCGAGGAAGGTATCCCTGTATTACCTCAGTCTCCTGTACCTTGATGCTCACTGCTGAAATAATACAATGTAACATAAGTTTGTAATGCAGTCTGATATTAACACTGAAGATTTGAAGCGAATCAGAATAGACATTCACAAGTTATCATTCAAAACTAATATTAAAATTTCTTCAATAATATTGAAAAAGTAGGATAAAAACAACTTAAATATAATTCAAACCTACTCCTAAAAAACTCCAGCTATGAAGCCAAACCGAAGAAATATTTTCCTGTTATCTGAGAGACTATTATTCTAAAATATCTAAAATTCACCAGCACATTAAACACGAAGCAACTCACAAGTTGAATTATCAAGTTATTAGCGTTGAAGAGTTGAAGTTCGTCAGATGTCACCAAAATTACCGTATAATAAGTAGTGTTTCAAATATCCCAATTTCTTCCACAAGAAGAGCAAATTATGACCTACACTGCCAGCAGAATCAATTTAATGCTTTCTCTAAGTAAGACTGACAAGCACTGAAGTAAGTTTATCAAAACTTTGAGTATATAACATAAGCTTTTTGCAATGGTCTTGAGGGCATACAGACGTTAAAGGTACATAAAAGTACATTAATTATATTTAACCTGGGATAACCCAGTATTTATCCTGGGATAACCCAGTAAATCAACCTCTGTGGCTTACGTCTAATCATAAGAGACATTTTCCAGTTATTTCACAGAAGTCAGTATAACTAACACAACCAAGCTTAGAGGAAAACACTTCAAGACAATATGAAGTTCAATGAAGAGGAATTTCAACTACTCAGATACGGAAAACTTGAGGAAATTAAAACTGTATCAGGGTATACAACAAATTCTAACCATACAATAGAGTGAAAAGAAATGTGAAGGACCTGGGAGTTATAATGTCAGAGGATCTCGCCTTCAACGAATACAACAATGCAACTACCGTATCTTTTAGGAAAATGATAGGATGGATAATGAATACCTTCAAAACTAGGGACGCCAATCCCATCCCATGATGATTCTCTTCAAATCGCTTGTTCTCTCTAGGCTGGAATACTGCTGTACGCTAACTGCCCCCTTCAAGGCAGGGCAAACTGCTGACCTGGAGAGAGTACAAAGAACTTTCACGGCACACATAAGTACAATAAGGCACCTAAATTACTGGGAATGGTTGAAGTCCCTTGATTTGTATTCCCTGGAATGCAGGGGAGAGAGATACATAATATACACTTGGAAAATCCTAGAGGGATTAGTACCAAACTTCCACAAAAATCAGTCCCTATGAAAGCAAAAGACTGGGCAGGAGATGCAACATCCCCCCAATGAAAAGCAGGGGCGCCACGAGTACACTGAGAGACAACACAGTAAGTGTCAGGGCAACATGGGTTTAGAACAGGTCGCTCCTGTCTGTCTCAACTATTGGACCACTACGACAAGGTCCTAAATGCACTAGAAGACAAAAAGAATGCAGATGTAATATATACAGACTTTGCAAAAGCCTTCGACAAGTGTGACCATGGCGTAATAGCGCACAAAATGCGTGCTAAAGGAATAACAGGAAAAGTCGGTCGATGGATCTATAATTTCCTCACTAACAGAACACAGAGAGTAGTCGTCAACAGAGTAAAGTCCGAGGCAGCTACGGTTGAAAAGCTCTGTTCCACAAGGCACAGTACTCGCTCCCATCTTGTTCCTCATCCTTTATCCGACATAGACAAGGATGTCAGCCACAGCACACCGTGTCTTCCTTTGCAGATGACACCCGAATCTGCATGACAGTGTCTTCCATTGCAGACACTGCAAAGCTCCAGGCAGACATCAACCAAATCTTTCAGTGGGCTGCAGAAAACAATATGAAGTTCAACGATGAGAAATTTCAATTACTCAGATATGGTAAACATGAGGAATTAAATCTTCATCAGAGTACAAAACAAATTCTGGCCACAAAATAGAGCGAAACACCAACGTCAAAGACCTGGGAGTGATCATGTCGGAGGATCTCACCTTCAAGGACCATAACATTGTATCAATCGCATCTGCTAGAAAAATGACAGGATGGATAATGAGAACCTTCAAAACTAGGGAGGCCAAGCCCATGATGACACTCTTCAGGTCACTTGTTCTATCTAG